TTTACTTCTTCAGTTTCCAAATATAATGTTCAAATATAAAGATAACATAAGGATAATAAAACTTTTAATTTTTAGAGTTTGTCTCAATTATTGATTTGATATCTCAAGTTTAATTTTGATCAATTTAGTCTCTTAAATTTGCCTCAAATATTAATTTGGTTCTTATTATTTAAAGATAAGGTAACACTATTAAAATCTGCTGACATGAATAACATACATAATATATGATGGCAGCCATGTAAATTAGTAAAAATAAATATAATTATTTATGTTGAAAAAACATATTTAGGAATTTTAACAAATGAAAGAATAAAAGGTAGTGTAAGAAACTAAATTAATAAAAAAATAACCTGATTTATGGGCTAATTTATTCTCATTTGACTACATATACATGTCAAGTCATCAACATATTTTATACATTATATTAACTTGAGAGTCAGTTTTTGTTTTAAAGTTTAAAGAACAAACATGATACTAATTTAAAAAAATGTAGGGGCTAAATTGATAAAAATTAAATTTGATGAATCAAATTATTAACTGAGACAAATTTAAAGGATTAAAAAGTTCATTACCCCTTTATATAATCTATCTTAGCTTGCGAAATACCAAGTATTTTAGGCACCATCTCAAACTAACAATTTTTGCTAGAGTGTCAAATAAGGGGGCAAGATATAAATACTTTGAATCACCAGAAAAAAACAAATAAATAAGCACACATACATCACAACTAATCAAATTGATGATAACTCAATAGAAAATGAAGTTATCAAGTTTGTAAATATACCTAAAAAATGGTACCAAAACTAAGATACCGACCTAAATCCATGGCGGTTTGGAGGTGGGTGCTTCTTGTCTTTCTTTCATTAGTAAGAGGATTTGGAACTCGTCTTTCTGCATTGCTTTTAATTTTTTAAAAAAAGTCTTTGAAAAACAAGGCCCCAAGGAGTAAGAGAAAACAAAATTGAGAACACCTTCGATTCGTTTGGTGAAGCACACAAAAGATACAGACGCAAAACAAAAGGGAAAAAAAAGTGGGTGGAGAGGTAATAATGATAGCAAGCCATACCTTTTGCACTTGAAATAGATTCACCACCACCCCACACATGCTTGTTCCTATATATTAAAATTATTATATGAGACAACTAGCTAGTTGTTGGATATATGGCTAATTGTAACAATGTAATTGGTTTGTTTCTTGTATATTGGCTTCATTGTCTGATCTCTTTTAATTTGTTCACCATACATGGTTGTGGTGTCAAACTCTTAGTGTATTATACTAAAGAAAGGTCTCTGCGCCATCATGAGCATGCAGCCATTGGCCACATATATATGAAGCCAAACACGAGTGTTTTAGAGAATATTCGTCTCACCATAGAGTAGGGCGGCTTCATTAATATTATCAAGTATTATTATTATCATCATCATCATTAACATAGACCAATGAAACCCAAACTTGAAAGCAAAAGGCACTTCATGATAATTACATACCACCTTATTGTTTAATTACTTCTTAATCTATGTATGTTCCCCTATTCGTTCAATATATTATAAGTATTTTTTAATTGAATCACACGTAACCTAATTAATTAGTTAATTTTTTAAAAAAATTTATGCATACTCTTTTTATATTTATGTACCCTTGTTTAAGAAGATATTTCAATTAAAAAACATTATTAATTATGCCCATAATTAAGGATATTAAGGATTTTTTTAAAAAAATATCACTTATTGCATTTTAAAAAACTCAAAATCTTTTATATTTTTTAACAACTTATCTCAAAGAAAATATTTTATATTTTTTAATTGGAGGAAGTATATCTTTAGGGTAAACTAAATGAACATGCAAAGGCCAGTATTTATTGGCATTTTCTGGAAAAGAGGGAGGATAAAATATGCTGGATATTTAGTGATTTTATGTGCTTGCCATACACACACGCACTAATTAATTCCCTTTGGTTTCGTCGTTTTATAATTTGTCGCCCCATAATTTGTGTGTATATGAAGTAGTGTTGCTACAAGAAAAAGCCAAAGTACATTTATGAGGAAGAGAGAGTAGTTACATAGAAGCATATGGATTGGGAAATATAGAAATTTGGGGTTGCGTTGTTGGTGATGAGTGAAGTCGGAGCCAACCATTTGGCTATCCTCATCAAGAACTGGGAACAAAACAAGCTATATGCATTCATTGTGAAAAAGAAATTTGCAGATATGGGCACTCTACATATTTTGTCATTGAAAACTGTGTCTTTGTTTCCACCTTCACTTCCTTCCAACCTACACGTTTATGGGGGACTCTCCCCATTGTATTCTTCTGCACTCATAAATTTATTCCATACACCCTAAAATCCTCTATATTAATTACCCAGTCTTTATTATAGGGCATCTTTTAGAATAATTCTTTGATTCTTAATATAAGTCATATAGATGGTTATCAATTAATATTTTCTAATTTTACCCCCTAATAATTACAGAAAGAAGCTAAGAAGTTAATTCTGATTTAATGCTTTTACGTTGCTCCTTGATTATAGGTGATTGGATCAACTGGTAAAGGGTTGATATCTCTATGGGAGGCATGCTCTCCAAAGAGATACCCACAAGTTGTCGACTGAATTAATCTAGATCAATGACATAGGATATTAAAACTCATGCCGGGAAAAAAATCTCTCTCTCTCTCTCTCTCTCTCTAATGGGGGTAAATTTATTTTTTTTAATTTTTAAAACAGATTTTAATGAGTTAATTATCATCCTTTCTTGGTTAATTGATAATAAGAGAGGGAAGGAGTACATTGGAGTATATATTTTATGCTAATTGATCGTGCGGACCACTTCTTTCTCCACTTTAATTTCGTTGTGGTAAAGATTTGCATACTCATCAAAACAGACTTCATTAGATTCCTGAAATCATGGTGGGTAATTTACTGTGGGCCTAAACTGAAAGTTTCATGTTACAAAGCAATGACTGAGAGTTCATTTATTAGTGATGATAACCAGCATAAAGTCAATTTTACATTTAACTATAAAATAATTCAACTAAAAGTGTACTTAATTATTATCAATGATGATCTATATGAGCGATTTTGCTTGTGTATCTAAATTTTGTATCAAGATATGTATGTTCAATGCTGTCAAACTCACAAATTTAAATAAATTTATGATAGAAATATAAACTTAAATCATAAATTTGAATTGTAAACTTATAAGAGTTTATCTTTATTAATAAACGACCATTAAAAGTTAAAATATAATTTGATTATAAATATAATCATAATTTGATTATGGATAGATTATCACACTAAATATAAAAAATTTAAAATAGGACAACTTATTTTTCATATTTATTATTATTTTTAATAATATTAGTTTTTTTTTAATTTTATTTTTTTTTGAAGCAAGTCCTAACGTTTCTATGATCGAGTTCTATATAATATATATTTAACTTACTCAATTTAGTAAAAAATTAACAAGTTTAGCTAGTTTAATTGAATTTGCATCTAGTCTAAATTTATATGAGCGAGCTAACACGATTTTGTAAATTAAAAATGTAAAAACAGTAAACTAAGAAGTGAACTCGCTAGTTAATCGAGTTTGTATATAATCTGTGTTTATAAACGAGTTGACATGATTTTATAAGTTAGAAATATAAAAATAATAAATTTTGAGAGTCAATTCAAAGGTTTAATAAAAATGTATATCTTGCTGCCAAGCTATGAAGCTATCTTCATATTGTTTTACGTTGCCTGAAAAGGATTCTCAATATTTGCAAAAATAGATGTAAAGGATGTATTTGTGAAAATAAATAGGAAAAAAAAAACTTGATTAGTACAATTATGAGATATGAGCTGTAAATGCGACAACCTTCTCGTGCCTCATTACTCTCTTAACATGCATGTACTATGGATTTAAATTAAAGAGTATAGCTTATTATAATACATGGGCTTGCCACTTTGTACACCATCATTTTCAGATTTGAAATGATGGTAGTTTTGATCAAAGAAGAAATGATTTTAATTAATTCTGTGTTGGGTAGTCGAGTTTTATTTTTTATAAAAGTATAAAAAAATAAATTTTAATCGTCCAAATTCAATACGAAAGATTTAAATATTACTTGATTTCAAGCAATCAGATCTGCACGAAAAACAAATAATTTTTTCAAATGTATAAAATGTCAACAATCTAGAAGGAATGAGTACAGTCCTCATTCCGGTACTCTAGAGCCGACGACCCCATGGATTTCGTCGAGTTTAACTTGAAATATTATGCTGGGCCAGTCTGGTTGACTGGATCAACTAGTTTAAAGTCCAGTAAGCCCAAAATCCAGCTTGAACAGTACTGGATAATAATCTTTTATTATTATATCTGGAAAACCTAAAATGCTTTTGGTTCTCCATACTTGGCCCAAATAAACATGATATTGCAATAGCGTTAAAATTTTTGTGATGGAGCTAGACACCTAAAAGAGTCCCACCATACTTGATCCGGATTGATCTGAGTCCTATTAAAGCTCCCTTCGACTGGACATGACACCGGTGTATGCTGTGCCTAATAATACTAAACTATACCTTTATTTATCAATGTTATTTGTTCTGGTAATTAGTTGTCAATTTGAGCCTAGCTTCGGTATTCTTGCTTCACGATGCCAAGTTATGCAATGAACCAAAGCAATCAGATCAAGAGTCATTCTAATACACTTTCTCACCAATAAAAAAAAAAAAAAAGCCATTCTAATGCATTTAACTAGATTAAACAAGACGATTGAGGTTCGTACGAGCAGAAAGCATCTCTCACAGCGTAACTAGAGAAATTAAAAAGCTTAACATCCAACACAGAAAACTACCGAATACGTGCTTTTCTCAAGGAATTATATTATGGCAACAATTATTCTTTTCTTTCTCCATCAAGCATTCCTAGCCCTCTCCTCTCTCCCAGCTTCTTCATCACCCAACATTTATATTCTCATTATAAAAACTTCCCTCTTCCCATTCAAAAATCCATAAACCACCATGCAAGGCCATGACCCTATTCCGATCCAAAACCCACCCGACCCTAAACCCTTCAGTCGCCGCCACACCGCTGGCTACTACGTCCAACGTGTTCGTGACAGCCTCACGACTCGAGTCTCCAAACTCATATGCGCCACTCTCTTGATTTTCCTCGTCGTTATTGCCATGATCACCTTCGTCCTCTGGATCAGCCTCCGCCCGCATCGCCCTAAAGTTCATGTTCATGAGTTTTCGGTGTCGGGTCTGAACCCAGAGTCCAAGTTCAAAAATGCTCAGATAAACTTCAACCTGACGACCAGAAACTCGAACCAGAATATCGGCATTTATTACGAGAACATGAACGGGTCGGTTTATTATAGGGACCACAACATTGGGTCGACGCCATTACTTCGTCCGTTCTACCAGGAGCCGAAGAAAACGACGGTGGTTGGCGGCCTTCTGAGGGGAGCGACTCTAAAGATGAGCAGGGAGCTTTGGGCGGAAGCGTTGGGCGATGAGAAGGCGAAGCGGAACGTGGCGTTCCGTTTGGATTTTACGGCCACGATCAGATTCAAAATATCAATGTGGGAAAGCAAGCACCATCGGATGCACGCCAACTGTGATGTCACTGTGGGCCCCGACGGCTCCATCTTGGATGCTTTCAGAGACAAGAGGTGCCCCGTTTACTTCTCTTTGAAGTGAGCGGGGCGTGCCCGGATTCATTTTTAATTCTTTGAACTTTACTCTCGGCTTTTGTTGTTGTTTGATTATATTTTTTTCAGAGTCATATAATAAATTATTCAAAGAAAATGTAATATATATATATATATATATATTTATATCTAAATAAGGTTCACTTCTTTTTTCATATTAATCTTATTTTTTTATCCATATCTTTACATTATATGGACGTAATTATGAGTATAAAAAAATTTTAAATTTTTGTATTTGTTTTATGGAAAAACAGGAAAACAAAAGAAAGCACTAACAACCTAAACTGTCCTCAACAAGCCTATGGTTCCTATTAGAATAAATAAAACGCAACACAGTGGGTGTGGGAGACGTCAGCACCACAAGATCTGCTCAAGGTGAGAATTAAAGCGAACTCAACTCTTAAAGCTCAGGCTCTGAAATTCAATTATTTAAATTTAACTTATTTTTAAAGTCCGGCTTTAAACTTTTTTTATCCAAAAAAAATTATTATAATTTAAATAAAATATTTTAAAATTTAATATAAAATAAATTAAAATCTCATATAAAATTTAACATAAACTCAATAAAAATTTAAAATTTTAAATTTAAGATGAATATTAAAATCTTCATCAATATAAATCAAAATTCTCCTCTTCATCATCTAAACATAACATATTAAATCTCTTAAATGCAGATTTACTTGTTGAAAATAGAGGTGCAGATTTAATGTTAATTATCTTCATAACTTCTTCATCATCACTTACAATAAATATTAATCAAATTGTATTATTATCAGTCAAATATATATATATATATCTATCTATGTATGTATAACATAACTTAGTTTATCAAGGCCTGAAGGACTTCTCAAGTCTAAACCTTTTTTTCACATGACTTATTAAAATCAGGCTCTCAAATTTAATTATTTTAAAAAAAAATTTATCTATAAAATCTGAACTTTTATTTAAATAAACTTTTTAAGCTTGTGTACCAGCAACTTTCGCTAGTGCATCTGCGGCCTTGTTCACTTCACGGTCACCCAAGATCACGTCCCCCAACCAATCTTGACTCATCGAGGCTCGTATCTCCTGCATGATGTCGTCGTCCCAGTTCACGACAGCGTCCAAGTTGTACATCGCTTCCACTACTTCCTTACAATCACATTCCACAACAATATTCCTCATATTCCATCCCCAAGCTTCCGCTATCAAAGGTGACCCATTTCCAATCCGATAAGTGAACCCTCTTGCACCCAATCTAAATTTTTGTATTGCAATTCATGAACATTTCTGTAGAATTTTTTTTATTAATTTTGGATATATCTTTTTAACATATATTCAGTTGGCGAGTTTGATGCTATTAATAAAGAGGAGAGGTTATTAAATAAATTAATTTAAAGGGCATATTTTAAAATTAATTAATAAATTAAGTCAAAACGTCCGAGAAAGAGGACCAGAGTGAGATTTTTGCTTGTTTATTTTATTATTTACTTTGATGTTAACATTTTTTTAATCAGCAAATTTTAAGCGAGTTTGATATTAACGTTTAATATAGTACAACAAAAACTGCATATCATCTAATCGAGACTAAAATTTGTTGATATAGTACAGTGATACCCGAGACTGAAAAGTGGCAAATAATGTTATTTTAATGAAAAAAATTAAAAGAAAAAAATTTCAACGCATTAGCTAAGATTGAAAACAGAAAAGGCATACCTATACTCGTAGTGTTATGTAAGGTCCCTTATAAATGAGAATTCACAAGTTTAACCCATTTATAATCTTATATTTTCAGTACATGTCTCTCTAATTAAAAAAGAAAGAAAGAAAGACATCAGTAATGAAACTGAGTTTGAATTAACGGGATCGCCTTGGCCACAAAGCAAAGGCACATATCCTTTCCCACTTGTTGGTAACAAGGCATCATATTCCTCTTGCGCAAATGACCAATCATATACATGAAAGAAAGCTAATGAACCCTCTCAAAACTGCCACCCCATTCCGCTCCAAAATTTAAACATTAAATAATGTGCGAACCAAAGAATTTCTACGTGTGGCTACTCCAATTTATAGGTCTCTTGGGCCTTCTTGCTCTGATCCTATGGCTATCCTTAAGACCCAGATCACCGTCCTACTCCATCAACTTCATCTCCATCCCCCAGTCCTCTGATCAGAACGGCAGCATCGTTTACAACCTTGAGATTGAAAACCCAAACAAGGAATCTAGCATTTCCTTTGATGACATACAACTGAGCTTCCTGTATGGGGACGATCAGGTTGCACAATCAACCATAGGTTCTTTTCGTCAAGGACCTGGTAAAACCAATAGCGTATTCCAAAGTGTTGATGCCAACCGGGGAGCTCTGAAACCCATAGTCAACGCGATTTCTAACGCCACGGCTGAGCTCAGGGCTGCTTTGATGACCAGGATTCGGTACAAGACTTGGGGAATTAAGAGCAAGTTTCATGGGGTGAACCGGCAAGGTATTCTACCTATTGGTCCTGGTGGGAAGCTTTCGGGTAAGAAGAAAAAGTATCCCCTCAAGAGTCCCTCCAAGAAAAACAACAAGGTTCAAAATAAAGCATTGATCACAAGTCCAATCTCTCTGCGCGTGCGTGGATTTCTCATTCATTCCCAGTGTGTGTACATCCTCCTCCTCATAGAATTTGTCGATTGGATTTTTCTTGGGCCTGATTAAGATTCATCTTAAGGTTACACAATTCTTTTTTTCTTTAGAACCATATACAATATAATCCCCAATTCAAGTGGTACAGATTTCACTTACCCAATTCGTGTGTTTTACATTCATTTGTGAAGTTTTGTCATTACTACTATTATTTATTGTTGCCATGTCAACCAGTCATGTTAATAAGCTCGAGAATTAGATATGGAACTTGATAACCATGAAAGTATCAAGAATTTCAAAATAGAACCAATGCTTTGGAAGTCGAATCAAGAATCAAGAATCAAGAACAAGATAAATAAAGAATGAAAAACAACACCACTGCATCTAAGGAAGATATTCACCAATCTTAGATGATTTTTCTTGAGTATTTCTGAACTGCTAGATGATAAAAAATTATGGCATCAAAGTTGCCACCTGAGACAAAGGTTTAAATTTTACCCACGACTGCATACCGCCTACCCTAATAAACTTTGGTGACTTTAAGAACTTCGTTTCCCTAGAGTCCTACAGTTGCTAACAATTTGTCTCCGCCATTTGTGAATGGAAACCTGCAAGGCAACACAAAGGATGTAGTTTAAGAATTTATCTGACAAAAGACAAGTGAATGTCCGGCAATCAAATTAATCATATCCAGGACGAAGGCGTCCTGATATTTTGACAGAAAAAAGGTAAAAGGGCAGAATGAAATCCTTACAGCAGGGAAGCCACCATAATCCCCAGGCTCTTGGATGTCCTTGGTGACACAACTAGTCGCTGCAAGCCGAACCTGCAAGTGCCATACCATCAATGATCAGATATCTTCTCAACCCCAACTTCCAGTTTTCAGGAAAAATAAAAGCAGTACCATAGCAAAAAGATATTTAGATTCAAAAAGATTTCGCAGTTTATCAATTGGTAACACAGCAAGTAAAGAATTCTGATTTCTGAGTTCTTCTGGAAACCACCTATGCTGCAAACAATTTCCCCTTAACTTCCCAGAGACAAAATAAATTGAGGGGATTAAAAAGTAAAAACTTCAGATTATCCAATAAATCTATATATTTTTTAATGTTTTTCAAGCCTGTTCTTAATTTTGTACCACTAGAAAAAACGCAGCCTTTCAAAATCTAGTTCAGTATTATTTATTCTATAACATGCACAGAAAGTCCATTTATTATACATTCACCAGCCCTCCCAAAGGCACCAGGGTCACAAAAGGCTAGAACCTCACAAGATCAGGGCAGCAAATAAATACCTTTGATACAATGGAAACATGATCTCGCACAGCTACTCTTCCCCCCATAGTCACATAATCACCTATGCTGAAGGGCAGCATATCAGACAAAGTTGTAACACTTGAAAAATTCAAAAGCTTCAGCATGAATTATTTTGAATATGGATTTGACCATATATATTAATCTGATATTCACAAACAATGATCTTAAGAAAAGGAGTTAAGATAACATACGTTGCAGAACCTGCAATCCCTACTTGCCCACAAATCATACAATTCTTCCCAATAACTACATTATGACCAATCTGCAGAAACAGTTAGGACAGAGAGAAAAGGAAATCCCAGTGAAGGTATGTTTAATTATACAAAAGTTATATGCTAACCTGAACTAAATTATCCAACTTCGTATAATCCCCAATGATTGTATCTCTCCAACTGCATGATTAAACAGCCAGTAGCATAAATATTGACTCTTTTAAAGCTCATAAACCCAAAAGAAAATCAAACTAGAATATATATATATATATATATATATGAAAATAAAGTAAAGCATGATGCAATCAAATTCCATACCTGCCCCGATCAATGCATGTATTTGCACCAATCTCCACATTTGCCCCTATTATTACTTTCAACATCTACATGTTTAAGCAAGGAATGCAATTACGGTTAATCCAAATCAAAAACCAAAAGTAAGCAATTCAAAATTATGCATCCCCATATAACATGACGAAAAAGCACATCAAAGAAACATACAAAGATCCTTGAGACGATTTGTGCATTTATGTGCAACAACTAAGCACTTTTTTTCATAATTATATATTTATTTTTACATACGTGATTTTCAAAGCAAACAATCATCAGGGTAAAAAAGATCCGTAGGACATCTTCAATCCATATAATAGATCAAGGATATTAAAATTGATGGACAGCTAACTATTAATCAAGATCGCCATGAAAGTTCTATATCATGTTTCATGTTTAAGTGCACAATCTTAACTCTTTCAATGCTAATATATACAAGGAAGAAAGCATAAAGAAAGGCAAGTGTTTCCCAAAAACAAAAGTAAATGCAAAGAAATATCTACTGTGACAAAGGTCAATCAATAAATAGACAAGTATAAGATTTAAAAAGGGAAAATGAAACCAAGACTCCAAAATGATAATGTAGGCCATAGAGATATTAGAATTATAAATTTTACGATAAAGTTATGGGGCAGGTTATTACTCCTCTAGCTATTTACTGAAGTAAACTAGACTTACATACTAATAAGTCACATTATTAATCGTGTGTTCAAACAAGGTCTAGAAGTAAAGCAATCTTCATATTAAAAATCGGTAACATAAGTGTTTAGAAGTGTATGATGTATTAAAAAAATCCTAAGCTTAAAAGCATATGGATGGCAATGTCGATCATTCTTTACAGCTCACCTTCCTAAAGACAATGCAAATGTTAAAGAAGAAAGTTGAAAGAAGATAACAAAAAAATATAGTTTAATGTCAAAGTAGCTGAAGAAATGTTACCAACCTGAGGCTTCTTTATCATATTACCATTATCATCCACATAAAATCCAAACCCTGCAGCGATTACATCAAGCTTATCAGAAAATGAATTCCATAAAAGACATTTGTAGCATCAAATTAGTTGATTTGATGGTGCAAAGATAAGCTAATATATAGTACTTGCTTCTGGCTATGTAGTGAGTAAATGATAGGAATTCTTTTCTTTAGTTAAGTATATAAAATCTAGAAAACAAGCAAGAGTAGATATCCAACTTTACCATCTTGACCAATGCAGACTCCATTGTGGATTACACACAATTCACCCACCTGGCAATTACTCAATGCAACATTATACCTGCACAAGAACAGTAGTTTAAATAAAACCAATTGAGCACAAATTCAAAATTTTAGACGTTTGGCTGAGTTTAATTTAATGAGATGCACGTTCAAAGTATAAACTTAGCATACAATAAAAAGCATTCACAATATAAAAATAATAAAAGACAAAGAATAACACCAATAGCAAGTTAAGTTATTTTCTAACCATCATTAGCAATAGCCACGAGGTTAGTCAGTAAGTGTGGACAATTTATTTCTGGTCACCACAAAATATTCCAGATATAGAGCAAACTTGATATCAAGTCCCATGGACAATTGATGAGCTATCCCTCGAATTTGCATCATAAATAACCCACACCTACATGCTTCAAATTACCATGGTGTGAATTACAAAATAAGATGTTATCTATACTCAGTACAATATTACATGTGCTTTTGAAAGCAGTTTATGATCAAATGTTCACGGTAAAAGCTTTTGCAGTTCTAATCTTCTACTCTCAGAACAGGCGTCCTGTCTGTTCTCAATTACCAACCAAAAGCGTTTACAAATTTGAGCACAGCACATAAAATCCAGAGTTCAACAGCAATTTGAAACGTTTCAGATATGAACATGAGGGAAACTAACAAGCATCGTTAAGGGGCAGGAGAAAACATGTAAATCGTACCCTATTTTTGTTGAATGGGCAACTATAACAGAAGGCCCAACAATCGATCCAGATCCTATATGAACCTTTGCCCCAACAACAGCTTTTGAATGAACAATAGCGCCAATCTCTAAGACTGCAGATGAATCAATGGAAGCCGATGCGTGTAAAGTGCCCCCTCCATTATGCCATTTGTGAAACTTGTCAGAACAAGGTCCAGAACCATTCCCTAATCTTGAAAAGTAAGATAACCACAAACGGGAATTAATAAAATAGATGCGAAACCAAGTGATGCATACTAAATATGATGCAAACTAAATAGAGCTATATCGCACGGTAATTCACAACCAAGCAACTTCTTTGACTTCAGCTTTCTTTCTGTCCTTTTTTTCCCCCCAAAAAGCAAATGAATTGGGGTCGGTGAAGATTTACCTGAGTGAAAAGGCCCAGGTTGTTGGGGCGAAGAAACGGAAAAATGACGACTACTAGCAGAGTGATGCAGAGGGATAGGCAAAGTGACTTGAAGTTGAACTCTTCTCATGCGATTGAGATAAAGGATTGAAGAGGCGGCTAGCCTCCCAGGCGCGGCTGCCATAGCCAATGCAGTCAACAAAATCGAAGCTGGAAATGATGTAGGAACGGAATGGGGAGCACAGTAGACACCAAAGAAAATGGAGTAAGCATTGTTCGGGAGAAGGGTCTGTCAATGGTTCAATCAGGAGTCAGGAGTCAGGAGCCAGGAGCACTCCCTCACTACAAGGGTTGAAGCGGGTCTTCGATAATCTACAGTTCAGATTTTGGGCCCTCAACGCCCACATCAGTCTGGTAACCATATGCTCTGAATTAAATCTAACCCCAAATCTAACTCCAGATACTTTATTTGAAAAAAAAAAAACACCTAACTGCAAATATCAGAGATAGAATTTCTCTCTAATCTAAGTCTTTCTAATGAAACTATGAAAGGCGAACAAAAATAAGTTGCGACAATTTAGAACATTTTAATGTAATATTTCTAAAAATATCGAAACACAAAACATCACTATGTCCAATTTTTTATTTTTGGTGAATTACTACGTCTAATTTTATTCGAAAGTCTTCTTTTTGAATAAAGACTAGACAAGATGATCAGCGAGATTTTCATTTTTTTTTCATCTTTGGTCTTAGTTTGCCAGGGTATGATATTCATGAATTTATCCAGATTTCACATCTATAATTCCAATGCATGTTTTTACCGTCGCAAAATAGAAAACAAGTTGTGATATGATAAATTTGGATCTGAATCGTAATTATGACAAAAATCTTTATTGAACAAAGGATCGATCATATTTTATTCACTTTAATTTATTTATTCATGTATATATATATCATATAAAATTATTTATAATAAATTTTTTAAAATCCTAAGTGATTAAATTTTAAGGGTTAAAGTGTACATTTAATTCCTTAACTTTATATAAAATTTTAATTTAATCATTTAATTTTATAAAATATTTTTCAGTCTTCTAACTCCAACATTTTTAATAAATTTAATGTGTCAATATTTTAGAATATCTATTCAATGTAAGAATTTTTTGTTAATAAAATTAACGATATTAAAAAGATTGAAAAAATATTTTATATATTAAGAGAAAAAAATAAAACCTTGTTTAAGTTACTAAGGTGCATTTTAGCCAATTTAAAATTAATATATTTTTAAGAACACAAATATCATAATTTATTCCAAAAAAAACACAAATATCATATATTAAAAAATATATATTTCAATTAATGATTAAAACCAACATTAAAAATATATTGAATTTTATTTTTATTTATGTTTAGTTTTATTTTAAAAATATGAAATTTAAGAATAAAAATATCAGATATTATCATATAATTTTTAACTTTTTAGGATTCGTTTGGTTTTCAATTCAATTTATCAAAAGGGCTTTTGATATGGATTTTGGATTTAGATGTTGTTTTATTTTCAATCTTTTGTCAAAAGTCTATTTAAAAAGTCATTTTCAGATATGGTTGAATGTATTTTTGGCCAATTTACATTTGGATTTGTTATTTTTCACTTTTCAAATGTTAATTATTGTTTGGGTAATTAAAATAGATGCAAATTAATATTACAAAAGGACTTTGATAACTGACTTCAAAGTAGATTTCGGAACATGCAATTAGAAGCTTTTTAAAAGTTTTTTTCTAACTTATTTATAGAGCTTTGGTTTTATTTATAAGATAGAGAGTATTTGTTCTAATTTTATTTATAGAGCATTTCAATAATTATTATATCCATCTTTCCTCTTTTATCTTATTAAAGGTTGGAAAAGCTATTAATCGTTAGAATATTTAATTTTTTAAGTATATATATTTAATAGAAATAAAATTAAAAACTTGTTAAATACATTTTACTCTATCACAATTTTACAAACATTTTTGATATATTACATTTGTATAACAAAAATTATAAATTATCATAAATTATTTTTTTTATAATTGTATATTTAAAAGTACATTTTACTATTATAATCTAAATAACTTTTAGTATATCAAACTGACTTTTGAAAAATGTATCAAAATATAAATTTTGTTATAACAACTGATTTTCACTAAATTGATGTTTGCCAAATAAACTTTTATCAAATAGATTTTTGATAAACTAAATATCAAACACAAGTTGACCAAAAACGCATTCAACCACAATTGAAAAGAACTTTTTAAATGGATTTATTAGAAAAGATTAGAAACCAAACAACATCTAAATCCAAAATCCATTTCAAAAGTCCTCTTGATAAATTGAACTAAAAATCAAACGGACAATAATGGAGCTTTTTAAAAGTAAAATATTATTTGATCATACTACCCCAATTTTAATTTCTTATTTTTTATTTAAAAAATAGTCAATTTATTAAAAAATATAATTATCATTTAAATAATAATAATTAGATAGAAATTTTTTAAAATTATAAATTAAATAATTAATCATGCTAATTTTTAACGTTAATGTATAAAAAAATTATAAATCTTTATCATATTTTTAAATTACAAATTAAAAAATTATAAATAATTAGAGATCAAGTTTTTAGCATTATAGATCAAATTTTATGTTATTTAAAAATTATCATATTTTTTAGATATTTTAAATATATTTCTTTTGTATAATAAAAATTATAAATAATAAAAAATAATATTCTTTTTAGTAATTATATATTTCAAAGCATATTTTACTATTATAATTCAAATAACTTTTAATTTATTAAAATGACTTTTAAAAAAAATATTTAAATATAAATTTCATTACAATAATTGATTTTTACTAAATGAATTTTTAGCAAATAAATTTTTAATAAACTGAAAATAAAATATACACTTACTAAATACTTTTTCTAGATAAACGTATATTTTTGCATTAAAGGTTTGAATTTGAAATTATACTGAAATTGGGAATAACAATAACTTTCGTGGACCAGAGATTTGGTATATTTAATATAAAAAAAGGAATTGGTATATTTTTTTAAAAAAAATTGGATGTTAAAAAACATTAATTGGTTTTATAAATTCCTACATTAAAAATGTGCTTTCTCACTTTTTGAAAATGAGATGTTGTTTGGGAACCAATTGTTATTCAAATTGATTTTTGCAAAAGTACATTCAAATGAAGCTAAAAGTGGATTTGACCAACATAAAAATTTGGAACTTTTGGAACTAAAAGTTGAATGTTATATATTTATATAATCAAGTTATCCTTATTTTCTTGCGTCTTACTTCGTTTTTTTTTTTTTTTTATGTTCTTTGTCATTTGCTGCTTGTCTGCCCATGCTTTATCATACCAAACATTGAAATAGTTTTCAAAGGCGAGTTCAATTTTTTGACCAATAGAGATGGATGCTTTTAAACGGCAAAAAAAAAAAAAAGGGAGAATGGCAGGAAAGAAATTAAGAAAATTAAAATATAAGTGAATTCTGTATTTTTTTAAAAATATATATTAAATTATACATTATAAACAGAACAATTAATCTTGTTCATTTTTAACATTAATGTATATTGAACTATGTATATAATTTTCAATATTAATCCATTTTAAACATTTTTAATATATTGTATTTGTATAACAAAAATTATAAATCATCATAAATTAATGTCTTTTTTTATCATTGTATATTTAAAAGCATATTTCAAAACCACAAATTGTTATTGATCAAAATAACTTTCAATTTACTTAACTGACTTTTAAAATAAGGCATGTTTGACAAGCACTTTTGAAATGTTAAAAATGGTAGCTAAACATAAAACTAGTTTAGAATTAAAATTAAACACCTTAGGTGATAATAGAAATTAGAAATAAGTGTTAGAAACTCAAATTCGAAAACCTTCACGTCTATCACAGGTATATTGCAATGTGCACAGATAAATGCTATTATTCCATGTTTTATCCAGAAACATGTACCGGTAAACATACAACATCTAAGCTATCATATTGGTTTTAATGTTTAAGTAAACAAAGATACTAGCGAGGATATTGGTCAGTAATTGGATCTTTATCCACAGACTCGCTTGTAGATTGCTCAAACTTCTTGTCATCAATGACTGTAATGTTTGATGAATCAGTTCCACTACGATCAACGAAAAATGCAGGCTCCTGAGGGTCTGGTAGGGTGACGGCGGATTCACTGCTTAACATCACCATAATAGATTGCATTGTAGGTCTCAGAGTTTGGTTTTCTTGAACACACAACAAGCTAATATGAATGCATTTAATAACTTCATTTCTTGAATGAGAATCCCTTAGACTAGGATCCAGCAAATGTAATGGCGTCCCTTTCCTCCAAAGCTTCCAAGCCTGCGAGTACAACAATCATGTATATAATCAATCTATTCAAGAATTGATCTATATATCTAGCTAGCTACCATTTGAGCTTATTTATTTGATAATCTACTTACGTAGCTTAATAGGTCTTCGGCACAACTTGATATATAGAAAGAAGTATTCTTCTTGCCACTAATAATCTCTAGAATCAAGACACCAAAACTATAAATATCAGATTTGACTGAAATCTGACCATGCATAGCATATTCTGGAGCCATATAGCCACTACAAAAAAAGCACACATCACATGGTAAATGATCTCTTCCTTCTAGTTTGTCATAGAGCATGGCACAAAACAATTATCATGAAAATTTGACTTGATTTAAGTAACTTACTAAGTTCCCACAAGTCTACTTGTGCTTGATTGAGTTTGATCAATTTCAAAAATTCTGGCCATACTAAAATCAAAATTTTTGGATTTAAATTTTCATCTAATAATACATTGCTAGCTTTCAAATCACGGTGTATAATTTTGAATCGAGAATCTTCATGAAGATAAAGCATTCCCCTTGTAATGCCTTCAATAATCTTATAACGCCTCGACCAAGTCAGCTCACCTCTATTTCCAGTTTCTGTCAGGTCAAAAAGAGGCAATTTTAAATAAGAAGATGAAAGATATATTCACATCCTTACTCAAGTTCAAGCCACTTTCCATGCAAGATTACATGGTTGGATAAGTTAATGCGTGTACTATGCATGCAAAACTTACCGAATAGAAATTTGTCGAGGCTTGTCTTAGGCAAAAATTCATATATGAGTATCTTTTCTTCTTCATCCAAGCAGAATCCTAGTAACCTTACAAGATTTCTGTGTTGAAGTTTTGCCATCGTAACAACTTCATTTTTAAATTGTTCCATGCCTTGTTTAGAGCTGCTTGATAATCTCTTCACAGCTAATTCTTGCCCTCCGGGTAAAATGCCCTGCAGATAAAACAATCAATTGTATTAAAAACCATTTATAAACAAGTACTC